ATTTTGGATGGAAAATACATTTTTGTGTTGTAATGGAAAAAAAATTAAAATAAAAAAAAAATTTAAAAAAAAAAAAAAAAAAAGATGGCACAGAGCTTCCAGCTGGGAGCCCTCTTCCACGTGGCTTTGTGATCACACCCACGGTAAGTTTCCTTCCGTCCCTTGAAGGAGGAGCTTAGCCGCCCTTCCTATCGAATGAGGTTTTCTCCCTTAACCATGCTAAATTGCCATTTTCTTTTCAGCTAACCCAGGTAACAAAGATGCAAATTAACCACTGCATAAAACTAGGGTCCTGTCTTTGCTCAGTTTTTCTACAGAAAAGAACATTGGGAAGGAATGAGGGTCCACAGCTGCGCAGAGAGCAGACGCTGGACAGCTGACGAGCTGGTGGGTGAGCGAGGCTGGTGCACGGTGGGACCTGTGAGTTCCCTTCAGGTAAACCCACGCAGGCAGCGCAATGAGCTGTAGAGAAAGAGATTCGGGGCCGGCAGGTGCGTAGTGGTTAAGGTGCGGGGCTCCCACATGGCCAACCGCAGTCTGAGTTCTGAATCTGACTACTTGAAAACCACCCTGGGCACGTGTGTATGCGTGCCCAAAATCCCAAAGAAGAATGGAGGAGGAGGGATTGTGGCGTGGCCATCCCCCCAGGGGGTGTCTTCTCACTGTCCTCCTCTCTCTCTCCAGCGAGCACACATGCTCTATGGCAGAAAAAAAAAGGAATATGAGCTGTTTGGGGTCAAGCAGACACAGGGGCTTAAGTCCCAAAAGTCTCTATATGAGGGTAACTCCGGGGAAGCGGCCCCTTCGCTTAGCTCAAGTGCATTTTGTGAAGCAGCCTCTACATTAGTGTGGCCTGAGCTGAGTGGGAGCTGGGCCTCTCTCTCGTGGTGCCCGGAGGCGGCGAGCTGCTTCACAAGGAAGCCGAGTCCCTCCTCCCAGCCGAAGTGGACAATGAACACAAACTTCGCACTTTCTACGAGAAGCGAAGGGCCCCTGCTGCTGATGCTTTGGATAGAGAGCAGAAGGTCATGCAGTCCGCCGAGGGGTGGAAACGACAGAGGTTTCCCACGGAGCAGGTGTCTCGGCCCAGGGCCGCGTCCGCCTGCTACTGAGGAAGGGGTTCCTGCTGCAGACCACGGAGAGCTGGAGAGGAACACACACCTGTGGGGGCTGCGTTGTGGGTGCCAGTCTGAGCGCTCTCAACTGGGTTATTGCAAGAGAGGAGAGAAGGACGTTCCCAGACTGATTCCACGGCACCTCGCTGCCTGGGCCTAAGACGGAGAATCCGAGAACTGTCCTCTCTCTAAAGAAGACGAGCCGCCCACGCGCTGCAAGAAAGCCCTTACATAGAGGTGAGGAGGTAAGAAACCAGGACCGAAGCGCCTAAGGCGGGCGTCCTGGGACGGCTCGGGGCCTGCCACACAAACGCCGTGGACGGCTCTCAGAGGCAGCTAAGAAACACGTGGAGAGGCAGCAGGATGCCCTAAGCTTTGGGCCAGGAGAATGGAGGAGGCCAAAGAGCAGGACACCCACAGACACAGGCTGTCCTCCCTGAGAGCCCCTACTTCCAGTCTGAGTCCACCAGAACTAAGACTTTATAGAGTAACTAACGCGGTCAGGCCTTTAAAAAGTCTCTCTCGAAGGTCTTTAGAGGGTGAAGTCGGAAAGGCTTCTAGCATGCCTAACATGGGCCAGGCGTCGTGGGCCCTGAAGGGCCTGTCTGCCCCGGGTGAGCGCCCAGGACCCCTTACCTTCCTCCCAGGACTCCCGCCGTCACCTCTGTGACCCTCTTCTCCAGGACACTCGGGGTACCTATTGCAGCATGCCCGTTCGACAATCGTGACCTGAAACACAGAATCTATTTACATGGAGCATTTTTATCTCTGTTGGCAAAATGTCCGCCACGTTTTTAAAAGCTGTTATAATTAATAGGACCTAGTTAGGTATGGCTGTTAAAAAGTACTTACAAGTTGCTTGAGCAAGGTGCTCGGGAGGCCTGGCAGCGTGACGCTCAGAGGTTGCTTATAGGCAGACCCTCGGCCGAATTCCAGCTCCTGCAGCTCCTCCAGCCTCTGCGCCCCCAGGTTGATGATGAGAAGTGCAGAGAGCCCTGCACAACGGCAGCGCAGCGGGCGGGGGAGTTACTCAGGGTCCTCTGAAGGATCCCTGTCCCAGCTCTAGACGCTCATCTGTCATTGCTCGCCTCCCGTATCCTTCACTTGTCTCAAACTGTGTGTTTGTTAAAATCAGAACTAGTTCTGGAAGCCAGCGGTGGCAGTGGTTAAGCCACTGGACTCCCTCACAGCTGACTGTGGTTCAAGTCCCAGACCCGGCAGCTTGAAAATCGTGCTGGGCACGTGTGCCTAAAATCCCAGGAGAATGGAGGAGAAAGGACTGCAGCATGGCCATCCGCCCTGGGGGTGACTGATCACTCACACAGTGATGACTCCCCACATGGGAAAGGTTATAGGTTCGTGTCCTGGGATCTCTGTGAACAGACCAGGCACGAGTGTGGTCAATGAATGGTTTGGGGCGGCTGAGACTGGGGTGGGCAATGGGGAGGAACCCCACTGGGGCATCTGTCTGTCTCCACCACCACCACCACCACCACCCCCCGCTTTCTCTCCGTGTGTGTCTGTCTGCCACCTCTATCACTCCTGGAGGGAATAAACTTTAAAAAAAAAATTTTAATTAAAAAAAAAAAAATTAGAAAAAATGGGGAAAAAAGACTTTTATTAGATATGGTAAGAAAAAGAGATGACATTTCTTCTACTTCCTACTTGTTAACAGGTAGGAAGATTTCCAGATTGGGAATTAATCAAAGCAGATCTTCAAATTGTGAATTAAACAAAGCAGGACTGCCTCCTCTCAGGGTTTTGGGCACGTACACACACATGCCCAGCATGAGTTTTAAGCCTCAGGGTCCGAGACTCAAACCACAGTTGGACCGTAAATTCTTAGCACGCACACAAGTCGGCTTTCTTTGCTATTGTCACAAGCTATTTGATAATCTTATGGTTTCAAATTGAGGACATATTCTTAATTATTCTTTAAAAATAAGTTATTACTGCGGCCAGCAGATGGCATAATGGTTAAATGGCTAGATTCCCACATGGCCAACTGAGGTTCGAGTCCCAGAGCCGGTGGCTTGAAACTCACACCAGGCACATGAGTGTGTGTGCCCAGTATCCTGGGAGGAGAATGGAAAAGAAGGGATTGTGGAGTGGCCAACCCCCGGGGGTGATTTGTCACTTTGCCTCTTACTGTCTCTGTCTCTCTCTCTCTGTCTGGTTAGCACACACACCCTAAGGCAAAAAGTTCTATAAAATAAATCGGAAGGAAAACCGCTGACCTAGCACACGAGCAAGGTTTACAGTATCCTGTCCGTGCTCCCAGATCCCTCCCAGAAAGGGTGCGATTTAACTCCCGGGGCAGTCCGTGTGTAAGTTCGGCTGAGAGCAAGCTGAATATACTGAACACGCTCTGCAGGAGGAGACTGGGACACGGCACGTCGCTGGTGGTCTATCCTGAGTTGGCTTTAGAGCTTGTTGGGTCATAAAATGGGACAAGCCAGCTCCCCGTTTAACGAGCGACAGAGCACAGGGACACAGCTAAGGGCGAGTGCACGCCACACCCAGCCAGGGCCAGGCCCCGCCTCGCGTCCCCTGTGTACTGGGCACCATTTCCTGAGTTCTACACCCACAGAGCTGAGACCAGGGCAGCCCTTGATGGAGAAGGAGGGCAGACTAGGGAGCCAAGCGCAGGGAGTGGCAGGGTGCAGAGTGGGGCGCAGCTCCAGGCTGACTCTGGGGAGTCCAGGAAATAGAGATAGGTGGGCCCGAGAGCCCTAAGGGTCACTCGGCAGCTTCTCACCCTGAGGCAGGAGACGCCCCTGCAAGCCCACCCTGAAGGAAACCTGGGGGGATGGAGAGGTAAGAGACTTGTGGGACACAGAGAAGGTTTATCTGCTGACGAGGATGGGTAATAGTCTCGGCTGGGCTGGACTGAGCTGTAAATCACGCTGGGTAACGCCTCTTCACAATCTGAGTGATGTACAGCGATTTAATGTACGAATAATAATAAAAAAAAAAAAAGAAAGAAAGAAAGAAAAGAAAAGAAAAGGCCACACTGCGTTGGTGATTGGATGGTCTTGTCTCGGGCAGGGACAGGTCAGAGTCGGGGTGCCTGGGGTAGCTGGTCCCTCAGCCCTGAATACCTCTTCATCTCTTCGTCTCATACAGAGAGAGGGTGGGCATCGCCCCGCCCCTGGAGGTCGGTCCAGTGCCACCTGCATTGTTGAGAGAGAGGCTGGGCCCTGGGTGACCTGGCACTCACCGCTGCCCCGGAGAAGCTCTGAAGTTCTCTTCAGTCTCCACAAATCATCGTCCAGTCCATCTGAGAACACCATCAGGACCTGCGGGCATTGGGGGGGGGCAGGAGGGTTTTCAGGGAGGCAGAGAGGGAAGGGGAAAATAGGAAGGTAAAGAGGGAGGGGAAAGTGAGAAAGAAGGAGAGAGAGAAGGAAGGAGCAGGGAGAGGGGAAATACAGGAAGGGGGAGGAAGAGAGGGGCAGAGAAGGTGAGAGAGCAAGGAGGGGAGGAGAGGGGAGGGAAGGGAAGGGAAGGGAAGGGAAGGGAAGGGAAGGGAAGGGAAGGGGGAGAAAGAGAGGGAAGGGGAAAATAGGAAGGTAAAGAGGGAGGGGAAAGTGAGAAAGAAGGAGAGAGAGAAGGAAGGAGCAGGGAGAGGGGAAATACAGGAAGGGGGAGGAAGAGAGGGGCAGAGAAGGTGAGAGAGCAAGGAGGGGAGGAGAGGGGAGGGAAGGGAAGGGAAGGGAAGGGAAGGGAAGGGAAGGGAAGGGGGAGAAGGGAAGGGAAGGGACAGAGCGCGGGTGCCGTAAATCACACAGTTCTAAAAACCGCAAGAGCGAGCTCTGTGAGTGTGCAGGCCCCCACCCTGTGCTTTCTCACCTGTCCCTTTTTGTCCCTCTATTACATATTCAATTTTATTTCAGCTTCTCTTCCCCTGAAAGAAACTATCTGAGCTAATTTAACCTGTTCACTAATATCCACCTTTATCAAAGGAAAAATACGAAAATGTGAACAGGAGCTTTTGACTATGCACGTGTGTGGAGAAATGAGTGGGTTGGTTATTGCTATTCCTGTTACATGCTTGAAATACACTGTCTACAATTAAAATGTATTCCGTTACCCATAAAAAATTGTATTCAAAATTAGTAATATTGGTAAAAAAAAAAGTACTAGATATGTGAGTGAAGGAGAAACTAAATACAAGCTACAAAGACTTGAGATGCCTTTTCCCAGAATTTAACACGGTGCTAACACATCCCATGCAGTAGCTCCACCTCCGTGGCCTCCTCTGGCTGTGGCATTCAGAGGCAGCAGACAGCGAGGAAGGGGTCTGAGGTGTGGGCTGCACTGAGGATCCACCAGCCATCACTAAAAGCAGCCCGAGGTGCTAACTTGAAAAACACTGGGCCTACTCCAAATGGCGGTGAGTCACTGAAAAGCTCAAGAGTCTTCAGACATCTGAGTTGGCTTTGGAACGAGTCTGGGCCTTGGAACCACCTAGATCACGGAACTGCGGATGCCTTGAGGAAGGGATTTTATTCTTCTGCAGCTACTGGCATGATTCGGCAGAGCCTATCGGCTCAATAAATGTGTGTTAGTGAAGGAAAACATCAGTTCTCACTGGGCAGAAGTCTAGTTCTCCTCTACCGAGGATCTCCAGTGAAGAGAGGTGTCACTGACCTCAATGCCAAAAGCCTTATCCATCCTACCCTGCCTGAAGGCTCCATGGCATGAGTTCCCAGCATTTATTACCTTCACTTTAGCAGTAGAAAGTTGGACAGTATTATTTCCCAGGGACTGCAGAAAGTTCACATTCATGTAGCTGTTCCTGGCAGCCTGGTGAACCAAGAATTTCTGGATGATCTCATCACTGTACTTCTCAAAGCCTGAGTCAAAAGTAAGCTGGCCACTTGAGCCGGGTACCAAGTATCGGAACCTCGGAGTCAGCTGCTCAGGAGTGCCACAGCTGGTGTTAGAGAGCAAAGCCAACTGCTGCATCAGCTCTGGGAGTAGCTTTTGAAGCTTATTATGAAGTTGTCTTGAGGTAGTTGAGATATCAATTCCTACAGACAGGTCTATGTTGCATCCTTTGAAAGAAGAGAAGAAAATTAAGTTAGTCATCTACAGAGGCATTATTAAGCTCAGAAGGTAACAGTCAGGCATCCCTGAAAGTAAAAAAGCCCAGCCAGCCCATAGAAGTTTAAGCTAAATAATGGTGACTATTTAAGTTTTGGGATTACTTGTTACACAGCAAAAGCTAACCGGTGCAATGCATACTCTTCAATATCTCTATGCCTCTCTAGATCCCGTTTTTTTCTGTCTGATATGTCTTTCCCCATCTTACCGCCCTAATCTGGTTAACTTGTACGTATCTTTCAGGTAACAGTATAAGTGCCCCCCTAGAAGCAGTGATTCTTGTAAGCGTCCCCCTAGAAGCAGTGACTCTGTCTCCACCCCTTTCAAGTTAAGCTATTAAATGCCCCATATGTTCAACACTACTTTATTGGCCTTCTCCCCACTAAGCAAGGGTTCCTTGAGAGTAGGAGCTATGCATTCCTATTTTCCCATTGTCTAATACAGATGTTCGTTTAATGTTTGACAAATGAATAAAGAAGGAACTATAAATGAACCTGGAGTCTTTTTCAGCAGTTGCTATAAGCATTTTCTTCTCCCTTGGAAGTTTCCTCCCTCATTCACTGTCTGTGTATATCCAGACAGTGTGTGTTTCAGGGGTGTGGATGCACGTTAGAAAAGAGCAGGACTGGGCCAGGTCTTCAGCCTAGTGGTTAAAGGAACCAGACCAGGGTCTGAATCCTGGCCCCGGCACCTGGAAACACACTGGCCACATGTACGTGCAGGTCCGAAAGCTCAGCGGGATAGAGAAGTGCAACAGAGCAGACTGCAGCAGCCCACACCCTGGGTCTCCTCCCTCTCCCCCTCTGTGTCTCTCTGGCAAGCACATGTGTGCTCTGGCAAATGAAGGAGGAGGAGGAAGATTAGGAGGAAGACGAAGAGGAAAAGGAGAGGAACAAGAAGAAAATAAGAGGTGGGGACTGAAAACCATTCCCCGTTTTCTTCCTTCTGCCTAAAAGTATGTAAGCCCTCCCAGAAAGTTTGTGTGTAGAGTTCAAAGGCTCATTGGCATTTCAGACCTTCTACTCAAAGCGGTACAAGACCCTTCTCAGAATGCCCCTAAGGGTGCATAAGCTGATGGCCACGGACACATCTGGGCTGAAATGTGGATGAATAAATGAAAACGCAATTTAACCCAAAGGGGGCCACTATTACTACTTCTTAAAAAGCGTAACTTAGGGCTAGCTGAGCAAGCCAGAGCATGTAGACATTTCCTTCAACCATCAGCATAGGAGTGTTCGGCCGAGCCTCGGTAAAAACGAAACTGCAGATCTGAGGGTGTAATTTTGGGGGAAATAATTAGATGGAGAACCCTTCACTACGGAAGAAAGTCATAGCCAGTAGCATAAAGTTTCCCGAGGGCCCGAGAGTCAGAAGTGAGCCAGGAGTCTCCATCCCCTAAAACATGACACTTCCTGCTAGCCAGGCAGACGTGTTTCTGGGCGTGCCGGGGCAGAACGCGTTCCTCTCCTTTCGTGCACAGTCGCTGGGGGTTCTGTCTATTCTGAAAGCTCTAACTCACATGCACAAAGCAGCTTTCAGAGATGGGGGTCCCACCTGTGCAAAAGCCCTCATTTCAGAAAAGAGAAACTTCCTTTCCCAGTATGGTGCATTATTCCAACCTTTCTAATTTACACTTTTCCTCCAGGGATATTCCCAGCTGGCTTTTTGCCTGTAATTGACAAATACAAGGAACGATTTATTTCCTGTTACTGGAGAGGACTGAACCTTGCCAGGTAACCCCTAAGGTCTTTTTCTGCTTCGTGATTCTAGAAGTCTATCATTAATTAGGTTCCAGCCATTATTAAAGTGTCTAGCTAATTTCATCAAAAGCCTGAAGATAAAGATGAAGATCAACATAAAGTCTAACTTATACATCGTGTGAAATGAACTGAAAAGAAAAACAGGAATCTGGTGTGTTTTCTCCTCTAGGACATCCCTATCTGCATATAAACAAACAAAAAACTAGGAATTGGACATTGAAAAAATCTGAACTACTTAATGTAAGACATCCCATAATCTATGATTATTTTTTAAATAATTGTACATGCATATTCTTCACAAATGATTTCCAAATTCACCTAGGCTGTTACCAAGTAGTAATATTCTCTAGATAATATAAGCAAAGATACTAATATTAATGTTTTAGAACACTGAACTTTAGGGTTGGCTCCCTGGCCTGGTGGTTAAGGAGCCAGACTTCACATGGAGGGATCTTATTGTCAGCATAAAAGTACAAAAAACTTGTACCATTTGGATCAAATCCCAGACCTTGAGGCTTGAAAATTTCACCGAGTGTGTGTGCCTACCTGCCCCAAGTCCTGACCGGGGGGCAAAGGGCCGCAGCATGGCCACACGCCATCGGGCTGCTTGTCCCTCCTCTGATTCTTGGTTGTTCTCTGGTGAGCGCACACACGCCGGGACAATTTCTTTTTTTAATTGAACTTTAGAAGCTGATGGGGGTAAGCTCTGTGGCCTGGTGGCTAAGGCAGTGAATCCCACATGGCCGGCTACACAGTTCAGTCCTGGGTCCGGCAGCCTGTGAAACACGTGGAGTGTGAACAGACATGCCCGGAGCCCCGGGACGGGGGAGAGCAGAAGGGACCGTGGAGCACCATGATCTGTGGGGTGCCTGCCCTGCCCCTCGCCCTGACTCGGATAAGCTACAGGTCCTCTAGGCCAGACATGCGGCAAAGCGCGTGGGAAACAGGGATCTCGGCCCAGTCCTTGGAAATTGAGCTTCAGCCTCCCAAGGGAAGGCTGGTGCACGGCACCCCGGCCTCTCACACGGGCTCCACACCACGCACCCCGGCCTCTCATACACACACACGGGCTCCACATCACACATCCCAGCCTCTCACACACACACACGGGCTCCACACCATGCACCCCGGCCTCCACACACATGGGCTCCACACCACGCACCTGGTCTCTCACACACGGGCTCCACACCATGCACCCCGGCCTCTCACATGGACCCCATACCACGCACCCCAGTCTCTCACACGGGCTCCACATTATGCACCCCGGCCTCTCACACACACACACGGGCTCCACATTATGCACCCCGGCCTCTCACACACACGGGCTCCACACCACGCCTCCCGGCCTCTCACACACACCCACGCGCCCATCATGCACCCCGGCCTCCACACACATGGGCTCCACACCACGCACCCCGGTCTCTCATACACAGGCTCCACACCAGGTGCACACACAGCAGTAGGTGCTTGGGCTTCTGCTCTAACCGGACTGCTGGGGAGTTTGAGCCCTGCCCCTGTGGCCTCTCGTCTGTTTCCCACCCCTCCACCCCTGCTTTTCACACCTGCACATCTGCTGGCAGGTACCCAGCAATAGCACCTCCCGCACTGGAGGCTGTGACCGGGTAGACGCGGAGCCTCACACACCAGAAATAGCTCGCACATGGGGGACATGGCGTACGTGTGTGTGTTCAAGATCCCGAGAGGAGAATGGAAGAGAAGGGACTGTGGCGTGGCCATTCCCCCTGGGTGGGTGATTTCTCATTTTCTGTCTCTCTGTCTCTCTGGTGAGTGCACATGCCCTGAGGCTAAAATCTCTCTTAAAAGAAAAAAAAAAAAAGGCAATACAGTATTACAGACTCTAGAACCAGTCTGCCTCAAGTTCAGGTCTCAGCTCTGCCACTGGCCTGGGCCAAACAGCCCATGTGCCTGGAGGGCTTCATCTGCGAAGTCGTACCTACGCCGTGGGGCTGCGTGGGGTTAATGCTCTCGTATGAAGCCCTGGCACGCTAACTCACCACACAGGTTAGCTACGCTGATGGCGGTGGGGCCATGCGGGCAGGAGGTACACAGGGCCTCCCACAGAGACCACGCCCTGAGAGACAAGTGCCCGCGAGAGAAGGAGGAAGAGGAGACTTGGACTGTCGGGAGGAGAGATCCCTGTCTCTGGGCCTTGCTCTTTCAGATAAAAGCCTGAGGGGACAAAATGGGATTGAAGATGACCTCATGGAGGCAGGCTGGGAATGAAGCCGCGGGACCCCGATACAGAGCTTCATAGGAAAGCCATGTGCTTCCCTCCGGGAGAGAGACCACTAACCAATGCCATCTGCTCTTCCCCGTGCCTTTGGACAAACCCCAATGCGGAGTGCACTGAGCACATTCCAGTCTGGTTGCAACTGTGTACGGGAATAAAAGGAAGATTCTGGCATGCCTCAGGTCTCCGGAGACCAACGCCATGGCAACCATGGGAATGATGGAAAGAATCCCCGGGGAGGGAACCACACGGATCTTCCTCCCCCACCCCGAGCTGGAAGGAGCGGGGGTTTAGTATCAAGAGCCAATGTGCCCCTAATGCCTGTGACAGGCACGTGGCTCCGCTAGGGACGCTCCTTCACTCACCTGGCGGGCTGCACACCTCGTCGACGATTTTCTTCTCCAGTATCTTCAAGGACTCGAAATTGTCTTCACAGAATACTCTGTCCTGGTCATTTGTAATCTCAAAAAGCTGAGCTGGGTGAGCGTTGCCCACCCCAATGGCAAAGATCACAACGTCCCTGTCCCTGAGGGCCTTGGCTGGTGGGACGACGTTATCCTGGGCAACCCCGTCCGTGATCACAATCAGGTACTGGGCCACGCTGGCTCTGCCCCCTCTCGGACCGCTGAAGAAAGGCAGAGTGAAACTGAGGGCCTTCCCGGTGCAGGTGCCCTCGTTCATCTGCTGGACGCTCCGGATGGCTCTGCGGATGTCCACCCTGGACGGGTACTGGTTGAGCCGGAACTCCTCCCGGGGAATCGAGCTGAACTGCAGAAGGCCGATCTGCGTCCCGTTGGCACCAATGTCAGACTTGTTCACGATCCGCTCCATGAACCCCTTCATCTTCTCGAAGTCCGCGGGGGAGATGGTCTCCGAGCCGTCTATGAGGAAGATGATATCGGCCTTCCTCTTCGTGCAGGCTGCGGTGAGAAAGGGGCGGGACATGCATTCACTCGGAGTCCGAACCCGATGACTGCAACCCCAGGGGTCTGCAGTGCTATATGTATGACATGGAAATATTGTTAAACAAAGTAGAAGTCGGGCCAGAAGTGGCATAAAGGTTAAGGCAGCCAGGTTCCACACGGAATCCAACTGGAATCCCAAATGTGCAACTTGAAAAACACGCTGGGCATGTGTGCATGCCCGAACCCCCAAGAAGAGAATGGAGGAGAAGGGGCTGCGGTGTGGTCATCCTCGCGAGGGTGCGGAGGGGCTCCTCACTTCCCCCACCCCTCTTCAGCAAGTACACACCATTGCAGCAAACTTGAAAAACAAAAAAAAGGAGAGAGAGAAACTGGAGGTCAGTGGAGGACGTTTTCTGCAGCCCAGCACGTGTCAAATTACACACGGCCGTAGAACAAACGTGTAAAATTTGGCCAGTTAGGGTGCTCCTAGGTGACGGTCACTGAGTGTGTCCAACACTCCCTGGCCAGCCAGGGGACCCACTCTTGGAGAATGAACCCTGTTCAATAGCTTAGTCCTGATACACGGGGTGGGGGGGCAGATACTCGGAAGAGAAAGCCTTACGCTCCGAGCAGATGAGCTGGACCACGTCCTTCTGAATGTCCTTCAAGATGTCATAGTCGTGCACGAAGAACACCTGGTCATGCGCGATCTCCTCCAGCTCTGTGGTGTTGGCATCTCTCACTCCAATGGCGTAAACGCTGACTCCGCCGTCCCTGAGTCTCGCTGCAGGCCCCGCCTCCGGATGGCTCTGCGGATGTCCACCCTGGACGGGTACTGGTTGAGCCGGAACTCCTCCCGGGGAATCGAGCTGAACTGCAGAAGGCCGATCTGCGTCCCGTTGGCACCAATGTCAGACTTGTTCACGATCCGCTCCATGAACCCCTTCATCTTCTCGAAGTCCGCGGGGGAGATGGTCTCCGAGCCGTCTATGAGGAAGATGATATCGGCCTTCCTCTTCGTGCAGGCTGCGGTGAGAAAGGGGCGGGACATGCATTCACTCGGAGTCCGAACCCGATGACTGCAACCCCAGGGGTCTGCAGTGCTATATGTATGACATGGAAATATTGTTAAACAAAGTAGAAGTCGGGCCAGAAGTGGCATAAAGGTTAAGGCAGCCAGGTTCCACACGGAATCCAACTGGAATCCCAAATGTGCAACTTGAAAAACACGCTGGGCATGTGTGCATGCCCGAACCCCCAAGAAGAGAATGGAGGAGAAGGGGCTGCGGTGTGGTCATCCTCGCGAGGGTGCGGAGGGGCTCCTCACTTCCCCCACCCCTCTTCAGCAAGTACACACCATTGCAGCAAACTTGAAAAACAAAAAAAAGGAGAGAGAGAAACTGGAGGTCAGTGGAGGACGTTTTCTGCAGCCCAGCACGTGTCAAATTACACACGGCCGTAGAACAAACGTGTAAAATTTGGCCAGTTAGGGTGCTCCTAGGTGACGGTCACTGAGTGTGTCCAACACTCCCTGGCCAGCCAGGGGACCCACTCTTGGAGAATGAACCCTGTTCAATAGCTTAGTCCTGATACACGGGGTGGGGGGGCAGATACTCGGAAGAGAAAGCCTTACGCTCCGAGCAGATGAGCTGGACCACGTCCTTCTGAATGTCCTTCAAGATGTCATAGTCGTGCACGAAGAACACCTGGTCATGCGCGATCTCCTCCAGCTCTGTGGTGTTGGCATCTCTCACTCCAATGGCGTAAACGCTGACTCCGCCGTCCCTGAGTCTCGCTGCAGGCCCAGCCACGGGGTCCATAGACTTGCCGTCAGTGATGACTATGAGGTACCGCGTCACGCCGGCCCGAGCAGTGTCCGCAAAGACCTGCGTCATGTGATCCAAGGCCTCCCCTGTGTTGGTCCCACCCCCGGCCTGCTGAATGTCTCTGATGGCCATCTCCAGCTGCCCCGCACTGGGGTACTGGCCGAGGGTAAACTTGCTTTGGATGCCATCTGAGTACTGGACAACGCCAAACTGGACTCTGTCAGGCCCCACCTGGAACATCTTTATCATCTCGTTCATGAACGCCTTCATGTCAAGAAAGTCATCCGGGTAGATGCTGCCCGACCCATCGATAAGGAAGTAGACATCTGCCCTTCCGATGAGGACACAATCTAGGCCAGAAGGGCGGAAACCACAGTATCGATGCCAGTCTCCCACAGCCCAACCGTGACCCCACCCGGGGCGTTCTGCCGGGAGGTGATCGGCCTACACAGTACTGCTCCCAGTCTCACCACAGTCCCCCAACCTGTGACCCCACCTGGGGCGTTCTTCCGGGAGGTGATCAGCTTACTGTGTAGACCGAGCAAAATGCTTGGGAGTGAGTGTGGAAGCAGCCGCCAGCCAACGACCAGCAAGGCTAGATCAATACCCCGCTCCTTGCTCGGTGTGTAGGACAACCCAGAGGGGAATCCGTGCAGCTTTCCTTAGGACTCCGCAGAGCTGAGCCCCAGGCACCTCAACACCGAGCTGAAGGCTCCCCCAGCCCCTGCCGCCTGCCCTCCCTACCCACTGTCAAATCTTTGCTTTCCTGCCAGCCTCCCATGCTCACCTCCCACATAAGTCACTTGCTTCAGTCTGTCTCTGATGAACCCCACGTAAGATATGAGCTAAGGGAGCAGCAGATGCCACAATGGTTACATCACTGGACTCCCATGCAGCTGATTGCAGTTCGAGTCCCGGACCCAGTGGCTTAAAACTCACACCGGGCGCCTGTGCGTGCGTGTCCAAGATCCCGAGGGGAGAATGGAGGAGAAGAGATTACGGTGTGGTCATGGCCCCCGGGGGGGGATTTTTCACTCTCTCTCTCTCTCTCTCTCTCGCTAGCACACATACCCGGTGGCAGGGGGAGATATGAGGTAAATGTAACCTGACATTTCTCAAACGGGGAAGTTGAGAACAATCTAAAAGTAAAAGCCAGAACGTATTTGAAACCCTGAATTGTCTCAAGGGCAAAGCCGCTCTGCATTAGATCCGCCGCCTCCACTCACAGCAGACGGGACCTTTGCTTCTCAGTGTCCTAGCGAGGGCCCTAACACCTGCTCAGTAAGGACCCGAGCCCGCCCCTGTAGGCAGTAAGTACAGTCATGTAAACAGCACAGAGCTGAGTGTTACGAATTTAGGGCTAGGGTTGCTCGTGTTTGATGCTTGTCACCTAGCAAATTGCTCGGAAAAGAAGAAAACATACTTTTCTCCTCACCCCCTTTAACCCGGGCAGCCTCGCTTTGTGTTATTAATCTCTGGATTCTCTTGACCCAGAAAAGAATTAAGAGCGTCTTCATGTCTTCCAGACTGACAGGTGGGAGTCGGGCGCCCCAGCTCCGGCGTTCATTTGGGGGAACTGAGATCCAAGTGCCATGGTCCACACTTACACTAAAGCAACAAGTGTCGCTTACCTGAATAAAACTAATTTAATGCCACGTCCTTTATCTCATCTAGCAATCTTACCACAGGGGGCATACGCCGGAGGGAAGTCCTGCTGAGAGGGACAGAGGGGGGCCATCTCTCCCTATCATAGGTATTTGTCAAATCCTGAAGACAGAAGGGAAAATAAGGCATTCGCATGGACCCCGCTCGAACCTGGCGTCCACTGGTGACAGGGAGATGGCTGCCCAGAGTCTGAGGACCCCTGTGTAGGAAGTGGCATCTCTGGGCCACCCCTACAGTCTGGGCCCAAGAGGTCCATGAAGCCAGGGTCTTGCGCTGCCCGAGGGCCCTGGACGCTGCGTGCACTGTGCACTCTTGCCAGGCCTGGACAGTGGGGTGTGGGGTGCAGGAGAGAGGCTGAGACGGTCTCTCCCAGTGTGGACGGAGCTCAGCATCTGCCTGTCGCACTGTCAAGTGCTTAGCAGAACGTCTACCGCGGTACACATGGCCAACATAGCGCCGCTGTGACTATGTGAGAGCACAGAACTGACAAAATCACCGTTTCTATCTTTTCCTCACTTTTTACTTCACTTTATACTATGAAGGCAAAATAAAGATTTTATAACTTTGGGGTTTCTGCTTATAACAAATTGACTCCAATTTTTCCTGTGCTTGGGGTAAGGGCGGCAGGCGTGAGCCCCAACGCAGCCAAGATCTGCAGTGGGACGAGAGACGAAATGCGGAAAAGGCCCTACCTTTCGGCGGGGTCTCGGCCGCCCCGGCAATGGAGACCGTCGTGCCCACGGGCGTCTCGGGGCATAGCTGCTTTGTGAGCTTGCTTTCCACCCTGAAGAGCTGCAAGAAGGACTCGAGGGGCATGGCGTGCTTCCAAGGAGGGTACGAGGCCATCTTGTCTAGATCCTTTCTCTCCGCGGCGCGCTGGGTCCCCACGGCGTAGATGGTGACCCCCGCTCTGCGGAGGAGGGAGGCGGGTCTGGACACATTGTCCTGCGAGAAGCCCTCCGTGATGACCACGGCGATCCGCCGCACGCCCCGGTGGGGCCGGCTGCCCTTCTCGGGAACGAAGACTTCTCTCCGGAGGAAGTCCAGCGCGGCACCCGTCCTCGTCCGGCCCCTCCGGCCCCGGTAGGCTAATCTGTCCAGGTGCGCCAGGATTCCCGCTGGGCTCCGAAACGTACCCAGCGAGAATTCCAGTCGCGGCTCCTCGCTGTAAAACACCAGGCCGACTCTCACCACGTCGGGGCGGACGTCCAGAGAGCTGACGGCGGTCTTGAGGAAATCGACGACTTGTAGGAAATTGGATCGCCCAGTCCTGCCAAACTCCTCCACGAGGAAGACCACGTCGGCCGGGATGGCGGTGGGGCACACTGCAGACAGACAGACAAGGCAGGAAGAAGGGCTTTACGTGAGGACAGGGGCTAGAGACTGCGCTCCGTTCAATACGGAAGTTAAACGCAGCCACGCGCGGCATAGTCAGTACATGCGTGGTGATACTACACTGACTTCCTCCACGCGGCATAGTCAGTACATGCGTGGTGATACTACACTGACT